CGAATTTAAAGGATTTTGGATAGCAATAGCGAATAAGGCAAATAGTTACTGTAATCCCAAGTAAAGTTGTTGGCAGTAAGAAATACCATTGGGAATGGATATTGGTGAAGACTCTAGCTGATTCATCCTTAATTTTTTGTTGGAGATTAGATAGTTTTGTTTGTAGAAGCGGAAGGTTCTCTCTTTTCAGATAGTTGAGATCGATGGGATCATCTTCAAGCTGGTTTAGAGTTCGCATTACTTGTTTACAGCAATTTTGAGGTATTTCCGGAGTAACTACCGGAACATTAACAATTTTATTTTGCTTGTTGTTCGTCGTTATTCTGAGTCCGTTATCGAAATAACACATATGTCTTGTCCATATTGTTAAAATAGTCGTAGTCTAAAAGTAAACACAAATTATGTTCAATACAGTTATTACATTTATTAGGTATATTTAAGTTATAAAATTCTTTAGAAATATTTCTCTATTGTTAGAGCACGTTCAATTTGGAAATACCATCATAAACACAAATAGCATTGCAATAAAATTGTACCCTCTGGGTCAACAACATCAACAGCAAGTTTACAAGCGAGGGGTTAGTTTTCACCCCCGCATTTCTAGATAAATAAGTAGGTACCGCCTACCTATTGTCAGTAAATAGATAAATATAGTAGTTTTTAAGATTTGTACATTAGAATTCATATAACATCCGTCAAACATTCATAACATTATTCTTCAAACATTTTATTCGTTCAGCTTTTCATATTACATTTCAATCATTTTTTATATTAACGTATTACAGTAACTCCTGCATTTATTTATATTTAGTTAGTTTGTTATTAAATAATTAAAAAGTAACAACCAGTTTTTTTAACTCACATCACTTCGAACTACTCTAGTGTTAGTGATAACATTAGAAGTGTAAACAGCTGGTTTTCACGATTTTACATGGTCCTTCGAGCCGGATGTAAGCAGCTTCGTTTATTTCCGGATTTTAAAACATAAACATTCGATGTGAGTTAGTGCGTTTTTGAGCAGAAACAATCATTTTCTTTAAGTGCAGTGTTACGCAATCATACGCAGTTTCGCGTTTTTGTGATCAACCAGTTTCGTTATCCCGGACATCCCATTTGAAAAGCAGCCGCAGGATTCGCCGAAACTACAAAATCATTCATCCCAGGAGTTCCCATTTAGAATATTCTGGAAGCATTCCGTAAAAGGACAACACTTCGTTCCAACAACGTTCATCATCACCAAGACCAATCAACATAGGCTTGTCGAACTCATAAGGTTGGTGAATCTCTAATTATCCTATCTTTCCTTTTCAATATTGTTTCGATACTTTATTAAGGTATTAAAGGATAAGTAAACATGCAGTCAGAAAACTCAGAAAGTTTAAAAATTTTAGTGAGAAATAGAGCAATAATCAAGGGTAATGTTACTCGTATTATCACATTCTTATCGTCGCATCCTGATGCTACAGTAGATGAAATTCAAACCAGAAAAATCAAATTAGAAGAATGTTATAACAATTTTTTAGAAGTTCAGGTTAAAATTGAAATAGCATCAGATGCAGATAATTTTGAAGCAAGTGACGAAATAGAAAGAGATCAGTTTGATGAACAGTATTTTAGTTGTGCAGAATTAATAAACAAACGCCTTCGTGAAATAAATCAAGCATCGCCTATTAAAAATAGATATCACAGTACTCCTACAGTAGTATCAAAACAAAACAGTAGCTTATTACCAAAAATTGAGATAAAACCTTTCGATGGAAATCCAATTCATTGGCATAGTTTTCATGACTCTTTTCTAAATTTAGTACACGAAAATGATGAGTTATTACCAGTTCACAAGTTTTATATATTAAAAAATGCTCTTCAGGGATCTGTAGCCTCAGTTTTTGAAAATTTAGATGCATTAAAGGAGAAAAATCCAATTGATTGGCATAGTTTTCATGACTCTTTTCTAAATTTGGTACACGAAAATGATGAACTATTACCAGTTCATAAGTTTTATATATTAAAAAATGCACTTCAGGGGTCTGTAGCCTCAGTTATTGAAAATTTAGATGCATCAAAGGAGAACTATACGGTTGCTTGGGATCTGTTAAAACAAAGGTGTAATAAACCGCGACAGATCATTCAAACTCATTTGAAATTATTATTAGAATTACCAGAAATATATCGCAAAACTCCCGCTAGTCTACGCTCCTTAGTAGAAAAGGCCCAAGTTCACATAAATGCACTAAAGGCACTTAAACAGCCTATCGAACATTGGGATACCTTGTTGGCTTATATAATTATTTCAAAATTAGATAAGGGGACACGTAGGGCCTGGGAAAGAACATTAGAGAATGAAGAAATGCCTACTTTCAAACAACTTTTAACATTTCTAAGTAAACAAGCAAGAGGCGATGAAATCGATTCCAATTCATATGAATCAGTTAATAAATTTAGTAATACACAATTTAATAATTCAAAGGGTCACTATAAAAAACACATAAAAAATAATCAATCATACTTAGGGACTCAATTAAGTCGTCAATGTGTCATTTGTTCTAAAGATCACGCAATATATTCATGTGAAAGGTTTTTAAGTTTAAATGAACATAAACGTGCTGAAGCAGCTCGTAATGCAAACCTTTGCTTAAACTGCTTAAAGTCAAATCATCAAACAATAAAATGCCTACAAGGTGGTTGCAAAAAATGCAATCGTAAACATAACACCCTGTTACACTTTAATAATACAATTAATACACGTAAAACAAACATTAAAAATAATCATGAGGAGAATCAAGACCAAACATTATCCGAGCAAATTAGTGGTAACAATATAAATTTAACAGTTGTGTCAAGTTCAGAAATATTGTTAGGTACTGCTTCTGTATTAATGCTTGACAAGGATAGAAATGAAATTCCATGTAGAATACTGCTTGACAGTGGTTCTCAAAATCATTTTATAACAGAGAAAGTTGCTGAACGATTACAATTAACAAAAACTAAAATTGAATTACCATTTTTAGGTTTAGGTCAGTCTTTAACTAAGTCAAAATATTATGTTAAGACTACTTTAAAATCACGCACAACTTCCTATTCTTCTGAAGTTCAACTTGTAGCTTTACCTACTATAACCGGTCTCCTACCAGCCAAAACAATTAACAAAAACAACTTATCTATTCCAAAAAATATCATTCTAGCTGACTCTGAATTTCATAAGTCGTCAGAAATAGATGCCCTCATAGGAAATACATTATTTTATCAATTATTAAGTATAGGCCAAATTAAATTATGCAATAATTCAATTACATTACAAAAAACATTACTTGGTTGGATTGTAACAGGACAATTAAATATTCAAAATAATCAATTAGTTAAAACAAATTCGTGTTTTTTAACAACCTCGTTTTTAGATAATCAGTTAACTAAATTTTGGGAGTTAGAGGAATTACCACATAAGAAACATTTTTCAAAGGAAGAAGAAGCATGCGAAAAACATTATATTCTAAATCTAAATAAAAGTCCTGAAGGTAGATACATAGTTAAGTTACCATTTAACGAAAGAAAAGTAGAACTTGGAAATTCATATCAGACAGCATTAAAACGATTATATACTTTGGATAAGAAATTAGAATCAAATCCAGATTTACGAAAACAATACAATGCATTTTTAGATGAATATTTACAATTAAAACACATGACAGATATAACAGATACGGACGATAAAAATACAGGTTTTTATTTGCCATGTCACGCCGTATTTAAGGAATCTAGCGCAACGACAAAAATACGTGTAGTTTTTGATGGGTCTGCCAAAACAGACACTGGTGTTTCTCTCAACGAAGNTTAGCACAAAAACGGAATATTTACAAACTAAGTGAAAAGTAAAACTATCGTGGAACTACTTAACTAACCAAATAAATAAAATTAATTGAGCGAAGAAATATATACAATGAAAATATTAAATGAAAAAATATACGTTTTGCGGTGCAACTAGTCACTTCCATAGCGGTACCGCGCTCGCTCGCGTAATCAACACTACTGACCGAATTCGTGCGTACTCGCTCGCGTTAGCATTCACTCGACTCTATAGGCGTGGAACTACTCTGGCTCTCGGACATCGCATAACCGATCGGTTCGACTACTCGATGCGATGGGAACTGAGACAATACAATTTATTAATTGAAATATTTACATACTGCCGCTGCTCCACCTTTCGGTACTACAACGGCGGTCTTTCGAAATAATTTATGTACAAAAATAAATATATGCGCTATTTTAATTATAAGAATAAAATTAAAAAATAAACTAATTAACTCGATACAACTACAATCCATACTTTTTCCCCTATGTCTGCTCTTTCGCAGAAGAAGGACACCTGAACCTTCAAAAGTAACTTTATTGTTTATGTTACATAAGAATTTATTGGCGAGCAGAGAGAGAGAGGAGAGCCTGCATAAATTATACTTACACTGAGTTAAGATGCTCCGGTTAGAATACGCAAAACGATATTTTTAAGTGATTGGAACTAATTTATTGAAAAATACAATGCAAATAAATTTATATTACGAATGTCTTGCAGATTCGTATCGGAGCACCAGATGAAACTAAAATATCGAATATAAAAGTGTATAGAAGAAAAAGAAAATGTACCTACAATGAGAATTATGTATCACAGCAATATTTCGTTAATTCAATAAAATTAAAATAAAATTAACAAAGGTATTTCATATACTGTACTACTGCTTTCGTTTTAGCGCCGAAGTATCGCCCTAAGTATACAAAAGTATTTAAATCAAATAAAGACAGGAATTGAATACATATATACAAAATAAATACTCTGAGTTAGTGCTATTTGCGAACGTATCATTTGCGAACAAATGAGATTTAGTGCCACTTACGAACAGCAATAAGTAGCCTTGGGTTGACCTAAAAACGAATTCGCTTTTATCGTTAACTTCGCGAAGGAAAATAAAAAAACTAACTATAGGAAAGAACAGGACATGCATGAAAATATAGCGCTAGAAAGAAGAGCGGTGGTTCTACGATAAAAATTAATAAAAATAAAAAAAAAGATGATTGCACGAAGAAAGTAATAAGATGAAGCCAAAAAAAAAAGAAAATAGAGAAAAAGAAAGGGATTAAGTGGGAAACTATAACCAAACAGCGGGAATAAAAAACAAGAGTAAAGTAGAATATAAATACATTAGTGAATTAAAAATAGAAGATAAAAGTTGTTATTGTAGGTATGTTTGGTTGTAGCACGGGGTAGTTCAGGTAGCCGGCAAGGTAATGAACGTAACTACGTCACGGGAAAACCTGTAGTTATAGTGTTCCAAGAATAAATTTCGTAGCTAGTAGGTACAATCCACAACAAGGGACATCAATAAGGTGTTCTGATATATTTTTATAGCTGGTATTATTCCTCAGCAGATTTATTTTAAATGTGTTGCCAACCATACCAGTGCATGGAGCGTGTAGCGTGATGATATTCTACC